ACATGATTCGTTTACATCCACAATAGTGTGGGTAGCTTTTGTTAGATACATTTAAAATCACTCAGTTTAAAACACAGTTTTTCCCAAAAAATCACCCCCACCCCACCTCTAACCCCCCCTCCACCACATGCTAAGTATACAGTTAGTTTGCCTCATTTGGGGAGCAACAAGCCACACACAGCAGCCACATGTGGAGCAACAAGCCACACACAGCAGCCACGTGTGGAGCAACAGGCCACAACACAGCAGCTACATGTGGAGCAATAGGCCACACACAGCAGCCACATGTGGAGCAACAGGCCACACACAGGGGCCACATGTGGAGCAACAGGCCACACACAGCAGCCACGTGTGGAGCAACAGGCCACATACAGCAGCCACATGTGAAGCAACAGGCCACACACAGCAGCCACATGTGGAGCAACAGGCCACACACAGCAGCCACATGTGGAGCAACAGGCCACACACAAGCAGCCACGTGTGGAGCAACAGGCCACACACAGCAAGCCACGTGTGGAGCAACAGGCCACATACAGCAGCCACATGTGGAGCAACAGGCCATACACAGCAGCCACGTGTGGAGCAACAGGCCACACACAGCAGCCACATGTGGAGCAACAGGCCACACACAGCAGCCACATGTGGAGCAACAGGCCAATAAACAGACGCCCACACATAGACTGATGAGGGTCAGATAACAGAGACACAGGTCATGAAAAATGCAAGCATCCCCACAGCCCCGCGACCCCCAGTTGAGCGCTGGTCAGTTCTCATAAATCCAGATGATCAAGTACTGGTCATTAGCTTGATGTAGACTGATTGCTTTGATTAGGTGATGGACACTGGGGAAGGGGAGGTGGGGGGGGGGGGGGGGGGGGGGGGGTTGGGGGGGGGGGGACCAAGCCAGGGACTGGAAATTCAACGGTCAATATGAAAAGTAAACAGTACCACACACAACACAACTGTACCTCACTCAACTGTACCACAAACAACTGTACGACACACAACACAACAGTACCCACACACAACTGTACCACACACAACATAACTGTGCCATACACAACTGTACCACACATAAAACAACTGTACCACACAACGCAACTGTACCACACACAACTTACCACACACAAAACAACTGTACCACGCATAACACAACTGTACCACACACAACACAACTGTACCACCTACAACAGTACCTCACACAACTATACCACACCTCAACTGTACCACACACAACTGTACCCCACTCAACTGTACCTCACTCAACTGTACCACACACAGCTGTACCACACACAAAACAACTGTACCACGCATAATACAACTGTACCACACACAACACAACTGTACCACATACAACTGTACCACACACAACACAACTGTACCACACACAACTGTACCACACACAAAAAACTGTACCACACACAAAACAAATGTACCACACACAACTGTACCACACATAACTGTATAACAAACAACTGTACCTTACAAAAACTGTACCACACACAACTGTACCACACACAACTGTACCACACACAACTGTACCACACACAAAACAACTATACCACACAACACAACTGTACCACACACAACTGTACCACATACAACACAACTGTACCACACACAACACAACTGTACCACACACAACTGTACCACACACAACTGTTCCACACGCAACTGTACCTCACCAACTGTACCACACACAACTGTACCACACACAACACAACTGTACCACACACAACACAACTGTACCACACACAACACAACTGTACCACACACAACACAACTGTACCACACACAACTGAACTACACACAACTGTACTACACACAACACAACTGTACTACACACAACACCAGCTAGTCTGTAGTGTTAGCTGTTGAGTCTATAGTGCTGGCTACACCCCTTAAATGTATGTTACAATGTAGAGCCACGAACGGGCCATCACTAAGCCACGATTAGGCCATTATTATGGCAGGATTGGGCCATCATTGAGCCACGATTAAGCCGCCACGCACGCCGCATCTAGAACCAGCTCCGACAGTTAACTAACAGGAGTTTTACATTCCTGTCAGGCCGGGAAAATTCCTCCATCGGGATGCAACACCCGCCTGGCAACTGACCATCAAGTGGCCAGTTTTCGATGACCACTACAGCCCTAAGATTAAATCAGAGCCGTTTAGCCCCTCCCTCCCCCCCCCACCCTTCTTGTATTGAAATCTAATCAAAAGCTCTGAGAGATTCGACTACAGGCGCCGAAAGTTTTCTAATCGATATCACGTGATCATAAGGGATTCCACTGACCAATACACACGTGATCATAAGGGATTCGACTGACCAATACAATATCACGTGATCATAGGGGATTCGACTGACCAATACACACGTGACCATAAGGGATTCGACTGACCAATACACACGTGACCATAAGGGATTCGACTGACCGATACACACGTGACCATAAGGGATTCGACTGACCAATACACACGTGACCATAAGGGATTCCAGTGACCAATACACACGTGACCATAAGGGATCTAAGCGACTAATACAAGGTCACGTGACCATAAGCGATTCAACTGACCAGTACAATGAGGTATCCTGGGCCCAGAGGCGTAGCGAGGGGGGGGGGGGCGGGGGGGACATATGTCCCCGGTCGCCGACCTTAGGGGGGGGCGCCAAATTGAAAGTTTGAGGGGGGGGGGGGGTGCAAATCGAAAATTTGCTCCCGAGGGGGGCGCCAAATTGAAAGTATGTCCCCGGGCGCCGGGAAGGGTCGCTACGCCTCTGCCTGGGCCACAGGATAGATTTGGTTGAGGTGGGAGATCAAGGTCACACCAGAACATCATGTTATCAGTACATTAGGACACCATGACACCATGACACCATGACACCATGACACCATGGCACCATGACACCGTTACACAATGACACTGTGACACAATGACAACATGACACCGTGACACCGTGACACCGTGACACCATGACACCATGACACCATGACACCATGACAGAATGACAACAGACAACATGACAACATGACACAGTGACACCATGACACCATGACACCGTTACACAATGACACTGTGACACAATGACAACATGACACCGTGACACCATTTGACTGAAGCTGTTAGGTGTAGTCACTTGTTTACCGTAATAAAAGTGTGTGTTGCCTTTATGGACATACACGTTTTAGCTCACTCATACCTCGCACAGACACACACACGTGCACACACACACACGCACAGACACACACATACACACACCGCGCTCATACACACGACGTGCACATACACACACGCACATACACACACGTAACACACACACGCACATACACACTCACGTACACACACAATGTGTATGTATAGATGTCCAGTCTTGGAGTCGCCCCCCAACCAATCACGTGATGCTTGTTGTATTCACCAGATCCCCCTGGTGTTGACCTCCGTGTTATTGGACCACGTGACCACGTGACAGTTGCACGTGCAGCAACAATGTGCACGTGTTGCTGTCAATGACCGTCTTGTAGGGTGGCGCTGTTGTACCCCGGTAGTGACGTCACGTCTCATTTCTCTCTCTTCATCCTCCCATCAATCCATCCCTATTGTATCCCTTTGCTCCCTTCTCCCTTTCTCCATCTCTTTCTCCCTACATGGTCCCTCCCCCCCCCCCCGCACAACGCCGAGATCTAGAGTTTGACTTAGGTTGTATAACAGTCGGGCAACTTAACTACATCAGGACCTGACATTTGTTCATGACATTAGATGATGACATTAGATGATGACATTAGATGATGACATTAGATGTTGAGATTAGATGGATGACATTAGATGACAATGGATGATGACATTAGATGATGACATTAGATGATGACATTAGATGATGACATAAGATGATGACATTATATGATGACATTAGATGATGACATAAGATGATGACATTAGATGATGACATTAGATGATGACATTTGTTCATGACATTAGATGATGACATTAGATGATGACATTAGATGATGACATTAGATGATGGACATTAGATACCATTAGATGATGACATTAGATGATGACATTTGTTCATGACATTAGATGATGACATTAGATGATGAAATTAGATGATGACATTAGATGATGACATTAGATGATGACATTAGATGATGACATTAGATGATGACATTAGATGACAATGGATAATGACATGTTGACATTAGATGATGACATTAGATGATGGCATTAGATGATGACATTAGATGATGACATTAGATGATGACATTAGATGATGACATTAGATGACAATGGATAATGACATGTTGACATTAGATGATGACATTAGATGATGGCATTAGATGATGACATTAGATGATGACATTAGATGATGACATTAGATGATGACATTAGATGGACAATGGATAATGACATGTTGACATTAGATGATGACATTAGATGATGGCATTAGATGATGATATTAGATCATGACAACAGATTCTGACATCAGAAGATGACATTTGCCTATGACGCTTATCTACCGCCACGTTTTATTGCCATTACACAATAGCTCCCACACACACCCCCTCCCCACCACACACACAGCCCCCCCACACACACCACACACACCACACACACAGCCCCCCCCCCCACACACACACACCACACACACAGCCCCCCCCACACACACACACCACACACACAGCCCCCCTCCCCACCACACACAGCCCCCCCCCCCACACACACACCACACACACAGCCCCCCTCCCCACCACACACAGCCCCACCCCCACCACACACACATCCCCCTCTCCACCACACACAGCCCCCCCCCCCCCCCCACACACACACACACACGCCACACACACGAGGCCTGCCTGCAGCTTTTGTTTACTCCATTATCACGTGACGTCCGTCCAGTTTATGAAAACATTCAATACAAGGGGTACATCAGAGGGGGAGGGGTGGGGTTTTGTTGGAAAGGGAAGGGGTGGGGTTTGTTGGAGGGGGGTGGGGGCTTACGGTTTGTCACGGAGATCGTTTCACTAGTGTCAAGTCACTCAATGAAGAGAGCGGAAAAAAAAACCGTCCTTAAAGTGATTGTCCATTTGTGTGTTTGTGCACCTTTTTAACGTTTGAAAACCTTGGATCAATGAGGGTTAGCCCGGGGGCGGGGGAGATGGGGGTCGGTTGGAGGGTGCATGCCTCAAAAACTCGATCGGATGTTTTGTTCCTAACTTCAAGTAAACATGAGCGGGAACAACGGAGGGAACATCAGAGCGAACGCCCGCTCCAACAACTAACACAGATTAATTCCGAAATGGGATTATACAACGCAGAGCCTCCTCAGGGGAGCGAACTCATTTTTTTAAACGGAGTTATCTTTCTTAGTTCTTAATTTGTCCGAGGCTGGTCGGGTTTTCCCGTTTCTGTGTAGGAAAAAAATGTTGTATAGGGGTTGTTTTCAGGGGACACGGTCCTCTAGGGACATTTGGGGGTTTAAAAAGGGGGGTAGGACAAATTGGGGATCTGTGTTTGTATCTATCGGGTGTTTTTTTCTCTCCAACAACTCCATGCATGTTCCCGCCCTCACGACGTTGTAAGTTGTAAAAAGTTGTAAAAAAGTTGTTAAAAAGTTGCATTGATGGAATGACAGCCAGCAAAACGTGGCTATGTCCAGGGCCGATAACTTAATAGATGCTTGAAGGCGGCTTCACAA